AGTTCTCTCTCATCAATAAGTACACTATTAACATTTAATTCAAAATATCCTTTGTTCATATCAACAATAACAGATGCATATAAAACATAACCAACAACAGAAGGTCTTACACATTTTCTTAATCAATACTTATTTTAATATTTTACCAAATTCAGTTCAATTTCATGCAATTAGTAATAAATTGATAATAAAGTTTCCTTTGATTCTGTCCAATTTGATTAATTGGTAGTTCAGTTCAATGATTAAGTGATAATTAAGTTCAATTCGATTCGATTCAGTTCAATTTGATTAATTGATAATTCAATTCAATGATTAAATTACCTTTGATTCAATTAAATTACCTTTTATTCAGTTTAATGATTGATTGCTTAGTTGATTAATTCTATTGATGATTGTCTTTAATTAATTCTGTTGATGATTCTCTTTAATTAATTCTGTTGATGATTCATGACTTTACATTTATCAATTGCTTTGATTTTGTAATTGTCTATTCAGATGATAATTTCAGAATTTAAGTATCATCATCATCATTTCTATTCCTTTATCACTCTATCATGATTTAGCAATTATAATTAATTGATTAAGTTATTAATCATATTGAATTTATTAGTTGTATAATTATCTATCTGATTAACCGAAGGTATTAATATAATTTTAATGTTGACGCATCAACAGTAGTAATATATTGATTAATTTCTAATACACATTTCTAATAAAACAATTACATATAGTAGCGGACAATTTTTTGAAATGAAGATCAAGGTCATTCAAGGTCATTTGCTTCAAACCGTTTCTTTAGGTTTTTTATGATAGTCTGAGGTCATTGTAAGGTCGTCGATAGTCATTTATCAAAAAAAAATATTTATTTCATCTTGTTCATTAGTTATCATTCAGGTAAAATGGTTTTTTTTTACGAAATAGCAAAAAATCGACATTTTAGAGAAATTTCTATTTGCTAATGGAGGAAAACTCAGGTCACAATTATTTACGTTTTACTGTTTATTTATTGTAAACTCTATTTTTCCACCCCGAAAATGGCTGAAAACCATCTTCTTTATTTGGTTAGAAGGGAGAAAAATTTCTCTCTTCAATTTTGCATCATCATCATCACCTTAAAATTTAACCAATAGAAGTTACCAGGTACCACGTGAGAGGTGGTACCTAGCACTGGTGCTAGCATACCTGGCCTGTCGTATAACACTACAAAGATTGAAGATCTCCATCTGTTCAGATAATTCTCTATCCGATACAGTCACAAGAATATCGGATCTACAAAGATTGAAGATCTTCATCTGTCCAGATAATTCTCTGAAGAAGATCATCTACGTTGGCTAGGTCTTTTACCCTTGAGATGTTGCCCGCTGTCCTAACACTTTTCTCCCTATTTCTCTTGAATTTAAATGAGTCTTGAACCCTTCATAAATGTATGTTCACTTAGCCTTCTCAATGTGGCAGTGGATGATTTGTTAGCAAATAGAAATTTTGTATTGAAATGTCCTGAATGATAACTAATGAACAAGATGAAATAAATATTTTTTTTTTGATAAATGACTATCGACGACCTTACAATGACCTCAGACTATCATAAAAACCTAAAGAAACGGTTTGAAGCGAATGACCTTTATCTTCATGTCAAAAATTGCCCGCTACTATATGTAATTGTTGTATTAGAAATGTTTTATATTTAAAATTGATCAATTGTATATTTCACTACTGTTGATTCGTCATTTATTCAACAAATTGTTAAAAGTTTCTACTTTATTTGGTGAAAATGTCATTTGCTAGATCATCGTGACTTGGTGATGATTTGCGTAAATCCCAAGATGAGGTTAATCTTTATCGTCAACTTAAAATGAAAATGTTTCTCAACAAGCAGGAGCCACTATTTCCATCTCCGTGTTTACCATCATTTAAGAGTTCATCTTGTAAAAAATCATCTCGTAAAAACGGGTTTTCTTCAGTGCGTGTACGAACGTGGCACTTAAGGTTCTACATCTGGCTAAACACCTTGTAACAAAATTAGCATTGGTAAATCTTTTTCTCGGACGACGATAAGAACGATGAAGGTTTAGACGGTGGGGTTAAATATGGTAGGTTCGTCCTGTATGTTTATCAAAAAATATTACCTATGATATTAAGCTGTTGAATGTAAAAATTGAATCTTTGCATTACTAGACACACTGAAAACTTTAACTTATGTACTTTCAAGGACATGATAATTACTTTCAATGAAGAAGTATTATTAGAAACATTAAAGAATTGTTTGAAGAAACAATTATGGTTAGTGACTAATGATGATTAATCAATTGCTAATCTCTCAATTAATCTTGAGTAGCTTGTTATATTGTTATGTTATTTCCGTGTTTACCATCATTTGAGAGTTCATCTTGTAAGGAATCATCTTGTACGGCCAATTCTTTTACAGGAGCACTAGCACTTTCTGAAACTTCTGAATAATCTAATTATCTACCATAACTAACGCCACCGTCTAAACATACAAGTGTTTTTCAGCTCAAAAATTTTTCAAAATGTAGATGGTGGAGTTAATTGGTAGATAATTAGATTATTCAGAAGTTTCACAGTCTCTAGCGGATTAATGAGTGCTCGAGTAGCATTCAATTAACCCTTGAGACTAGTTCGCTAATAGATTAACCCTTTTAGTTATGTAGGTGGCGCTTTTCTTGTTCTAAGTGTGAAAACTACTTTAGTTAAAATAGACTGAAATGTTGAGTTGCTAGGCGAGAGGTTAGTGTCGTGGAATCTAGTTCATGATGACATTGGTTCAATTCTGGCCCTACCCAGCTGAAAAATTGTAAACTTTCCAATTTAAAAATGATGTAAACAGAATTTTTAATGGCCTAGAGAAACGTCATTAAGCTCTCCTAATCGCCCAATATGGAAAAAACTACTTAAAAGGACTATTTAGGTTACTTTTTGATGTAAATCGTTTCGGACATAAATCACATTGAAATGGCTCCCGGTATGAAGAAGCTCATGTTTCTGTAAATCAGCAAACGTAAATGTGCTAATGTTCCTGTGAAAGAATTGGTCGGATGATTCCACACAAGATTAACTCTCAAATGATGGTGAAAAGTAAGAGGGAAATTGCGGCTCCTGCTTATTGAGAAACATTTTCATTTTAAGTTAACGATGAAGATTAACCTCATCTTGTGACTTAGGAAAATCATCACGAGTGACGATGATCAAGCAAATGACATTTCACAAAGATAACGTTAAAAATTCTATTTTCCAGTCTTTTGTGAAGAATTAGTAACCTTTACGATTTGTCAATTTACCGACTTTTAAATCGTCCAATAATTTTGAATTTAATTACAGGTATGAGCTAAAGAAGATGCTTTTCACTGTTTTTAAACTCAGTCTACGTAAAATTGACCGATACTTATCTTTCTTATTTCAATTTCAAGGTCATTTAGATCATCAGCGAACTAGAGCTTTTGAGGTCATTTGAATATATATACGACCAATTCTTTCACAGCTGCATTATCACTTTCTGAAACTTCGTAATAATCTAATTATCTACCATATTTTAAACAAAACACAGAACAAAGTAAATAGGGTCCCCTTGCTTTGCCTAGAATTGGTAGTATAAGATGATTCCTCACAAGAGTCTCCAGGAGCCCCCAAAATGCCGATAGGGACCTCCTTACAAACCTGAACAAGTAAGTATGGGCCCCTTTCTTTAGCCTAGAATTGGTCGTATAAGATGATTCCATACAAGATTAACTCTCAAATGAGGGTGAAAAGTAAGAGGAAATTGCGGCTCCTGCTTATTGAGAAACATTTTCACTTTAAGTTAACGATAAAGATTAACCTCATCTCACATTAACATCACTAGTTATGTCTGGTCGTGCGGCACCACACTGCAGAGTTTTCTGTATGTCTAGTAATCTAGCAGTGAGATATATACAATTGATTAATTTCGCATGTAACATGCGGCATGTTGCTTTTACAATCAATTGTAGATTAAATCTACTAGATTTCTCGTCATCTCTCAGTCATGAGACATGAAAGAGTGGTGACATTAACTACCTGAGAACCTAATAAGACAAATTTGTTTCTTCACTTATCCCTTCATAATACTCTTCACTGTAAAATACTTATAATTACATTGGAATTTTATAAGGATAATGAGAGTGAAACCGTATTTTATGACATTGAAATTCGATTGCAAAAGCATCATCATAATCAATGCTAATCATCACGATTTTCAATTTACAATAGCGATTGTGATGAGGATAACGGATTTATTCATATCAGATTCAATTCTACATATACATTTAGATCTGTTTTTTCTTCGTCAATATTAAATCAATCATGCAAAGTGTTTTTTGATCGGTATGTGTTTGAGCAATACTCAATTGTCAAGGCAAAAGATCAAGGTCATTCAGGTCATTTCTGAAAGAAATCGTTCCAAGGTCATCGTAAGGTAATATAGTTATTCCCCACATTTTCAGCCTGTAAAATTAGCTTGGAGATTAATCAATCATACTAATCATTTTCGCTTCTCTGCGACTTATAGTTGCTGAGAAAATCACAAGAAACATCAGTAAAATAGCCCTGTAGTTTGTCATGATAACTAATTGAACATTATCGATGTTTTTAAATTGTTTTTCTCATGGAAAACAATAACATTCGTCAAGTTGAATCAAAATTTTACTCCCTGTCTAATATTCAATGACGAAGAAGAGAGAGAGAGAGAGAGTGAAGGCATAGAAAAAAAAATTCTATTGAAAATTAACATAAAGTTCTAAGAGTTTGCTCCATGGAAGATGTCGTTCTCTCTCTCATTCTATCTTCCATTTCATCATGAACGCTATTATGCTCATGATAGTTCAGACAGAATCAACTAGGACACAGCTTACCCAAAATTAAAAGAAAAGGAAGACAGAGAGAATGAGAAAATGTCGACAGAGTGAGAAGATAAGTGAGACAGTAGAAAGAAGGAGAAAAGTGAGTGTCTCTCTCTCTCTCTCTCTCTCTCACTCAGAGTAATAAATTCAGTTCAGAAGCGATTCAGATTGAGTCGAAAGAGGGTTAAGAAAGACGATAACTAACAGATCATCATTCTCATCATCATCATCATCACCACAACACCACCAAAAAAAGAAAGAGAGAAAGAAAGAAAAAAACAAAAGTGACTTTTCCTTTCTAATTAACAAATTGTTTATCTTTTTCTCTCGTATTCCTGGTTACCATTACTAATTGTTGACTGTTATCGTCTTTGAACCCAATCATTTCCAAGTAAATTCAACAATCAGCTAATTGTGACTATTTAACCTTAAATTCACCAACTACTAATTGTTAACAAATCAAATCCACCAACACAAACAACAACTAACCGTTTAAATGATCAACACCAATGAAAACCACATGGAAAGTTAATCGTTGTGATTAAGTGACTTTAATCACCAACAATTAGATTATTAATCCTCTCAATTATCATGCAACATGGTTAACCACTCAAATGAACATCAATATAATCAACAGAATCGACGACAACAACAACCAATGTTAATTTGGTATTTAAAACCCATTTTTTACTAGTAGCAAAAGTATTTTTAGCTAAATTGTGTCAACATCATCTTCATCTTCATCATCAGCTCATCATCATCATCATCGTCTCTCTCTCTCTCTCTTTCTCTCATCTTCATCTTCCTTGTAAATCTCATCCATTAAACCAACTTGTTTTTGTTATTATTTTGTTACCAGAAAAACAGTTTTAGGTTCAACTGGTTAACCAGAAAAAAAGAAACACAATTAACTATCAATCAATCAAGTGTATTTTTTATTGTTATTATATTTCTGTTAGAAAGGGAGAGAGAGAATCATTTTAATTGTTGTTAACAACAACCAAGAGAAAGAGAATCAAATTAAATTGTAATTGAGTCGAAGAAAACAAAATAATCTAAGTAACAACAATTTAGAAATCAATTCTCATTACCAAGTCTTTCTTTCACAATTTACTTTCTATTATTTACAACAATTTATCCTTCCCAGTCCTTCCCTGTATTCAACTGAAAATTAAATCACCATCATAATTTAATCATCAAATAATCTTATCAACAGAATTAAATTAAATTTCAAATAAGTTAATTGTTAACTTTGATCAAGTCAATTTCGCCTCAACAAACATTAACCGGTAACTTGTTGCTCGTTTTTGTTAAACTTGTTTTCGCATCAACAATCAACTTAATCATTTCGTGTTAATTTAATATCTTTCACCTTAATCTGATCCCTTGTGCCCACTGGATTTAACAGGGAGAAAATTAATTGTTCGTGATTAACAGAAAGGCAAAAGAAAAGGAGATCCAAACAATTTAAATTGTTAATCTTTTCCTTGTATATGTGTTACCCAATTGCAAAGTACTCGCATTGAAAATGATCAATAAACGTAAAAGAAAAGTCCAATCAATAGTTAATTTGTTTCCATATCTAGTACGTGATCTTTGATTTACAATTAACGTGAAATCATCTTCATCTCAGTTGATGATTAAAGTCTTAAGATCAACAATTTTGGAGCAATAAAAATGCAAAATGAAACCGTTTTCATCATTTCCTTTTCCTCCTTCATCAGTTTTACAATTTTCTCATCTTCATCTTTACAATTTCTTCCTTCAATTTTAAGTGATAATCATTTTTGTGTCTTGTGAAAAAATGACCTTCCATTTATCTCATGCGTCCAATAAGTGTAATCTCATCCTATCATCATCACCTTTATCACCAATACCAAAATCATCGTCATCATCATCACCAAAAAGATCATCATCTTCATCACCATTACCAACAACCAAATCAACAACATCATCATTATCAAAATCACCATCAACCTCAACGTATCAGTAACTACAATTGCAGCTACAACCAAATCAACACTTTAACCACCAACAACTACAAGTATAATCATAATAAGAGTCAACATCATCATCATCATCAACCTCATCATTTTAAACATTACCACAACCCATCAATAACATTATCATCATCATCATCATCATCATCATCATCATCGTCATCCATTAATAATAATAATACCTCTGATATTATCCAAAAAATTATCGGAAAACAATAGCTACCTTATAATCAAGTGAAAACTGAATCAACAATCAATACTCATTGATAAACGTAATGACCATTGATCATTTTTAAAACAATTGTTGAACATTGGAAGTAATTTTTTTTGTATTTTAGTGATTGATTGTTTTCGTTTACTTTGATTATAATTGTTAATCTGTTGACCCAATGGCTTCGGTAGCGGCTTGGCTTCCCTTTGCTCGAGCGGCGGCCATCGGCTGGGTTCCAATAGCAAATAATCCGCTTCCCGCTCCTCCAGTTACAAAGGATCGTCGTAAACGTGAAGATGAAAAGTTTATCATTAATGTTTCCGGTCGTCGATTTGAAACTTGGCGAAATACGGTTGAAAAGTATCCCGATACTTTATTAGGTTCTAATGAGAGAGAATTTTTTTACGATGAAGAAACTCGTGAATACTTTTTCGATCGTGATCCCGACATATTCCGTCACATATTGAACTATTATCGAACAGGTAAACTTCATTATCCTAAACATGAGTGTCTCATGCAGTATGATGAAGAATTGGCCTTTTTCGGTATCATTCCAGACGTGATTGGAGATTGTTGCTACGAGGATTATCGTGATCGTAAACGGGAAAATGCTGAAAGAATGTTAGATGATAAATCATCTGAAGCAGAGAACCCGAAAGACGCAGAAAAAGGGACATTACGACAGCAAATGTGGAGAGCATTTGAAAATCCTCATACCTCAACTGCGGCTCTTGTTTTTTATTATGTTACCGGATTTTTTATCGCCGTTTCCGTTGGGGCGAATGTAATTGAAACAGTTCCCTGTGGACTTCGTGAGGGAACATCAGATAAAGTTTCCTGTGGTGATTCCTACAAGATTGCATTCTTTTGCCTGGACACCGCTTGTGTTATCATATTTACCTGTGAATACCTTTTACGTCTTTATGGTGCACCAAATAGGTGTAACTTTATGAGATCAGTTATGTCGGTAATTGATGTTGTCGCCATTTTACCTTATTACATAGGACTTGTTATAAAGGATAATGATGATGTTTCCGGAGCTTTTGTTACTTTAAGGGTTTTCCGGGTTTTCCGTATATTCAAATTTTCTAGGCACTCACAAGGATTAAGAATCCTGGGTTATACCCTGAAAAGTTGTGCCTCTGAGTTGGGTTTCCTTGTCTTCTCATTGGCCATGGCAATTATCATCTTTGCAACGGTCATGTTTTATGCTGAAAAGAATGAAAAAGGAACCACTTTCACCAGCATTCCAGCAGCATTTTGGTACACCATTGTCACTATGACAACCTTAGGGTAAGTTGACAAAGAAAATGTTATAAATATTATCAATTTAATACCAACAAATAACAAATAACAAAGGAAAACGAAACAAAAAAAAATATATATAACATTTGAAGGAGAGAAAAACAAAATTAACATTACAAGTTTGTTATTTTCTTCCTACAATTTAGTGAAATATACCATATAATAAGTATTCATTATAATGGGAATTTGGTGAATTCATGATGAACTTTATCATGTTCATCTTGATATTCAAATGGGTGAGAATTTTGTATTTCCATGTTATCATTTTTCTGGGTAATTTTGGGTGTCCAGAATTTCATGGGAATCGAAACAAGATTTGTTTAAATAGTTTTCTTTATTTCTCCAATATCTTATTGCTTGATTGTGATTAAGATGATTGTTGATCTGTTATTCATATCGATTGTGATAACTAACAATTAGCGATAAACCCAAATGGTTAATTGATTCTGTCTATTGTTTTGGTGTTAATACTCAAGGTGAATGAGATGATTTTCTTATTGTTGTTGTTTATTATCATTGTTTAGATCTGATAATGATTAAGGTAATCATCATTTTGATTGTTTTCAGATGATAATCAATTTAGTATTATTATTATTATTGTTTGATACTCATTATCATTAGCATCTTCATCATTTCTTATTGTAACAAATATACTCTTGAACCATTTCATTATCAACATTATCTCATCATTTTTACTCCCTGTGAATTTTTTATATATAAGATAATAACATCATCACTGATTATCAGCATCTTCAACTAATGATTACTGATGGTGATTATCATCATCATCATCTTCAGATCTTAATCATAATCAGAAAGATATACACATGATAAAATCAGATTTCATGAGAGATAATTTTTGATTAGAAGGCGAAAATGAGAGAGAGAGAGAGAAAAACTTTTATCCATCTCGAGTAATCATATTATGGTAATATCAACGATCTCAAGTGTTTCCGTTTCCGTTAAAGTTGTGGATGAATCTTTTATTGTGTTGCATCTTCCTCCCTCTAATCTTTATCATCATCATGTGTTAATGATGATGAAGACGACGACCTTCATCATCATCCTTAGACCTCAAGGGAAGTTGAATCATTAGCTTATTATTATTAATCAGAATGAGAAAAAGACTCGAGAAAAAAAAATTATTATTATTATCACAATAGGATGAGTAGTGGAAGATGATTAAGATTGTGATTATATTGATGATGAAAATGATGATAAGATTACTGATACTTTATGAAGATAGAGAGGCAAAAATGGGAGGCAATTGGTGATGTTGATTAATTGTCCTGTCAACACTTTGATTGTCCCAATGGTTAACGATAAAAATGAATGAAAATTACACAATAAACAAGATCCGATAATCAAGATCAATTGAACTGGACAATTGAAATTGAAAGTTAACAATCAATAGAAAATTAAATTGATCCAACTAATCTGTTGTAACGTTAATTTAATTATTGATACTTTATATTTTATTAAATTGTACAAAATATTTATTTCAACAATTTACTTTTAATCATGTTGATTCATTGATTGTGATTCATCATGATTGAATTTTTCTCATTCTCTAATTTTGATAAAAGCTTTTTTTTAAACTTGTTCTGATGCTTTTCCTATGGTGACATTATAATGACTGATGATAATTTGACAAAACTAACCGATTACTTTTAATTGTAATCAAGTTGATAACTTTAATTTGATTGGTATTGTATTTGTTTGAGTGTGTCTATTGAATGGATTTCATTTGATTATCATCTTATTCAATGATTAGTTTTAACTTGATATTGGAAACAAATTGTTGATTAATTTTGAGATGAATACAAAAATCAATACTAACAATTTATATTATGTTGACCTAATTGTTATATTTAGCTTTTATTACTTTGTTGATTATTGATTTAATTATGTTTACTTTTTAAATTATCATTGTAATGATGATTCTGGTTATATATTTTATTATCATTCATGATTATTCATGATGATATTAATCATATTTGAATGATAATCAGATAGTTAATTGTAGTTAAACTGTCAAGTGTAATAATTTGATTGTCTTTCACAATATTGGGCTAATCAAAATGATGATGATGTACATTTTGTGATGGACAATTTAATAACTGTCAACAATTAACTGATTTAATACTCATCTGGTTGGTTGGAAATATAAAAATGTTGTTGGCTGATTTTTTTTTCCTGATTGTTATTAATTTTGATCCATTTTCACAATGATAATCATCAACATGATGATAAAAGTAATAGCAATTAACTATTAAACAATTAACTAGACAATTTGATTTGATTTACTTTGTTAAGTAACTACAAATTGATGATGTTCAATTGGTCTTAATCAATGGTGATAAAAGCTGATTGTTAACATCGTTACAATAGTTAATTGTTTAAAGGTGAATTTCGTTAGAAAGTTAAAATCAACTCGAGTTGATAATCGTCCAATTTGACCTAAAGTTAATTGGGAATGAAAATAGTTGATCATTTAGGAGGAAAACTACAATTTCATTGAAAGTTAATCATCTTAATTTAATCCAACTGATTGAAAACAATTTAAATCAGCATTTAAATTAAAAATTATCTCCTACTAATAGACAATATTGACAATCCGATTTATATAAAAATCTGATTATCTTTTTTTTTGTTTTTAATCATGATGATTTGATGTTGAAAGAAAAAGGTGAAAAATTAATCATGATTAAAACTAATCATGATTAGGTAACAAGCTTGAAAAAAGTTGATTGTTGCCATGAAAAGTACATTATCACAATCGCTAAATCACAATTTAATCATCAATCATCACTTTTAATTTTAATCTCACAATAAAAATTGTCAACAAACTTGAAAAACAAAAGTTAATCATTTCAAGTTGAATTGATTTCAATGAGACATTGAAAATGAAACTAAATCAAAATCAACTGAATCATTGATAATCTGATTAAGAAAAAGCTAAACATTAATCTTTAATCTTTAATTAATCATTAGGTTGATTGTTTAATGATTAATCATGAACAAAATAATAATAATAATATTTCAAAATCAATCCTCCAAATGATAATAATCAGATTACTAAGTAATCTGGATGAAGGTGATGAATGAAATGATTTCATCATTTCCGTTTCCTTTTCCTCATGATAATTATAATATAATAATTGGAAATGTAAAAAAAACAATATTATTGATTAAAAATGAAATTAAAATTTCACAATTTGAATGGTTAATCACAATTAAAAGTAGAGGATAATGTTAATCAATGCAGAAAAAAATATATACATAATAATTATAACAATAGTTTGTTATGGATGAATGAAATTAAAATTAGTGATACAATTAAGGCCTAATAACAATCAACTAATTGTCTGGCTATCTGGTTACCAAGAGGAACCAGATTAACAATTAGCAAAATGTATGAGTAAAAATATAGAATCAGATTAAAGTAATTAATTTTTGATTCAATTGAGAATTGAAATTGTTCAACTCAACAACCAGAGGGATAAATAGATGAGACTAAATGAAAGGTCATTAATGTTTGGGTCATTTTGAGATGACCATTATAATTATTGATCCACTATTTTCTCATTATTATTTGTATATTTTTCATCTTCTTCATCTTCCTCATCCCCTTATCAACCTCCCAATCAATTCCCACTCCAATGTTTACTTTTTGTTAAGATAATTATCATTCTCATCATTTGATAAAATGTCTCTCGAGTATTTTTAATAATAAATAACTAATTTTACGGTTTAAAAGTCACTGAGTAACCTTTAAATTAACCTTATCACAGATCATTTGATATTTAACTTCATCTTGTCTTCCTCTCATCATCAACACCATGTCCTCATCCTCATCCTCATCCTCCTCATCATCATATGTTGTTTTCATCTTTATCATCACAATTTTTGTCTTTACATTGATGTGGAGCCAACAATTTATTGATCTACTTTTACTCATCAAAATTGACTCGTAATCATTGATTATCAAATCGGGATTATATTGTTTATAATTATAACGTTAATTAGTATAAAATCCTCATTAATTAATCAAATTGTTGTTAATTGTTGATAACTTTAGCTTAATCAACTAAATTAGGTTTGAATGAATGATGAATTTTCCCAATTTTCAAACTGAATTTTCAATTATAATTATAATTATTTTCCAATTAACTTAATTTAATTGTAAATGAAAGTTTTCTGATTATAATGAGACTAACAATTAATCACTATTAACAATCAATCAACAAATTAACTGTTTTTCAAAAAGCTAATCTAATTTCAATTTTAAAGTATAAATCAACTGATAATTGTAATAATCAAAATATAATGATGATCATCATGAAACTGGATTAATAATGAATGAATAAGTTGTATTATAATTCATGGGATACTAATAGTCAACTAGATAATTGTGATAATGATTTATATTAATTGTGATGTTAACCAAATACTAATAAGAATGAAAAAAAAAGATTTAAATTTGATGATTAATGTTGGGTTGGTGAGTAAAATTAACGAAACCTTTATTTAGATTGTAAATTAATGAACTAATCAAAATGATTAGTAATTATAAACTAATGTTAATCTGATTATGATTAAGCTTTTTCTTTGTTGATTGTTGTACATTAATACCAATTGAAAAGTAAATTGTTAGACTGTTAATGATTATGATTAGAGTGTAAAAAAAGGGATAGATTAGTTTTTATCACGTATTATATTTGATTCGTGACTAAACTCAATTGATTTTGACCCATTGATCCCAACAATCAGTTTAATTTCATTCAATTAACTTAGTTCACCGTCTTAATTTTCATTTCAACACAAAGCCATTGGTATATAACAATCAACTAGGATACATACAATTTGATATCATCTTAAAACTACCAACCCAAAACTCAAATCAATCTTAAATTGTTACATCATTAATTTAGTAATTTACTGTTTTCTTATCACCAGTAAATGATTAAATTGCTCAACAATCAACT